TGGTCAGCGGCTCCGAGGCGACGGACAGGGGGCGGAAGCGGCGTCCGGGTCACGGTGCGGGGCTAATCTGCAAGACAATTCGCCGCCAGCCAGAGTTGGCGGACAAAGCTCGCACCTGCAAGACAAACTCGCAGTTGCACGTGCACAGAACAAAATGAATTAAATTCTCAGGGCAAACGTACTAAGGCGCCGCAGCCCGAACCGAAGTGGGCAGGCCGCCGTGATGAATGTGCGGATGCATCGAAGTGAGTCGCCAGGGCGGCGCCGGACTCCGTGGCCGACCTGCACGCGCCAAACGGCTGTGCGGCCGCAGCCAGAAACAGTGCGCGACAGAAGGCAAACCAAAGGCTGTACAGGCGTTGTAGGCTGAACCACTCAGCGCCCAGTCCTCAGTAATCCGCCTCCCGGTGCCGAGGGGGGCCACGCGGCTGTGCCCAAAGCGCAACTGCGGTGCCGTTCCCTGAAGCGAAGAGATCCGCTGGCGTGGGGGGCACCGCCGTAGGGTGGTGGTGGTCGGCACACTGGTGGTGGTGACGTCTGCGCTGCCTGCCAGGGAGGTCCTGCTGCAGCGCAGCTGAGGTGGCCAGCCAACCCAGACTGTCGCATGGCGCTGCCCCTGAGCCCTAGCGCCGACACGCACCAGGTGTCTCTCCAAAGCCGTGGGAACTGCAGCTGAGGGGGCCAAGAAGGACCATGAGCAGCGCGTGCCACGGTGCGAGCAGGGGGGGGGGGGGGGGGGGAAACAGCCCAAACGCAAAGGCCGCGACGGGCGAGCACTGAAGCCGCGGGTGGGGGACACCCACCGAGCCTGGGAGGGGAGGGGCGAGGGGGCGCAACGCCTCGCCCCACGGCCAGGTACCCTGCAGCCGTGGGCCAGGGGCCGCGGCCTGCCACATGGAACGCCCCGGGGGTCGCAGCTACTCGCCGCGAGCACCTGCGTGGAAGAACGGGGGGTCGCAGCTACTCGCCGCTAGGAACCATTTACATCGTGGGGGTCGCAGCTAATCGCCGCTGAGGTCTCTGTTGAATGTGTGCGAACGGGTGGTGGCCCACCGAGGCCGCAGTCCACTGCGAACGGGTGGCGGCCCACCAGGGCCGCAGTCAACGCGGAATGTGGGCCAGCAGCGAGATGCGCCTCCGGGGGTGGGTCCTGGGGAATAGCAGCTACTCGCCGCTGGAGCTGAAGCTGCCAAAAGTGAGGCCTGAGACAGCAGACCAGTTGGCTGGCGCGCAGGGGGGGTTGCTTTTGCCGACGTCCCCCTGTCACCGAAGGGTGGGTGGCTGTCGCCGCTGGACAGCAAAGGTGGGTGGCGCGCAAGGGGGGGTTGCTTCTGCCGACGTCCCCCTGTTGCCGGAGGGAGAGTGGCTGTCGCCGTGGGACAGCCAAATGGGTGGTCCAGGGGCCGGTCAGCCCAGCGGGCTGGTCCCCTGATGAGCAGGGCGGTGACATGTCAGGGATGGGTCCACGTATCCAGTGTGGGCTGTCTAGCTATGCAGCGCCTTTGGGTGAGATGTGGGGTGACCCCCGCCCCGGCGGATGTTGCCCCAAGGTATTACGGCCAAGGCCGGGCGCTGCGAGGTGAAACAATCCCCTACGGGGGGGGTGGAAGGTGGTGAGGGTGACGGAGGCTACTGGCCAGGAAGGCCGGGGGTGCGCTGACAGGTTGACCGGGCCCTGCTAGCCCTGGCCTGGTGGGGTTACTTTTTTTGGTCGGCGGCTCCGAGGCGGCGGACAGGGAGCGGTGGGCGTCGTCTGGGCCAGCAGGCGAAGCTAATTAGCTACAACAGGCAATGCACCTGCAGTAAAAACCCGCAGTACGCGAGTATGCACATGCCAGAAGCAAAATGCTCGATTAGACGCTGCGGAAGAATCGCCCTGTCGGCGCCAGTCCGCGCAGCCGGCCTATCCGATTAGACAGGTAGGGCCAGAGCGACACGCTGAAGGCTGAACCACTCAGCGCGAGGTACCACCGCCGTGCGCGGGGTAGGCAAAGACAGGGCAGGGACTTACAGAGCTCTCACTCCACGATCCACACCGCTGCCCATGGTGGGGCTGGTGCGTCAGCCATCGCACCGAAACCAGATACCGGCCAGCGTGGGGACGAAGCGACACGCTGAAGGCAAAACCACTCAGTGCGAGGTTTTAACACCGCCGTACGCGGGGACGGCTGGGGTACGCAGCGGGAGAGTCGCCCTGTCGGCGCCAGTCCGAGCCGCCAAACTAGCCGAACAGGCAGGTAGTACCGAAGCGACACGCTGAAGGCTGCACCACTCAGCGCGAGGTACCACCGCCGTACGCGGGGTCGGCAGAAAAAGGGCAGGGACCTACAGAGCTCTCACTCCACGATCCACCCGTTGCCCATGGTGGGGCCGGTGCGCCAGCCATCGTCTCCGAAACCAATCACAAGCCAGGGAGCAACGATGGAAGCGGACACGCAGGCCCATGCGCCAGTCCTGCCGCCAAGCGGGAAACGGCCGAAGGTCGCCGAGGTACGCTGCAGCCGCGGCCAGCGCATAGGCACTGGGTAGTCAGACCCGAAACTGACCACAGTGAGAGCCAGGGGACGGCAAGTACTAACAGAGCACTCACTCCGCGGACCGCACTGCTGCCAGGGGGGGGGGCCGGTGTGCCGTCATCGTGTCCGAAGCCAGTAACTGGTCGGGGCTGCCACGATGAGAGAGGACATGCTGGCCCAAGGGCCGGTATATTGCACTTGCAAGTGCCGGCCACGATAGTCGCCGAGATTCGCAGCTGCCGCGACCACCTCATGGAGCGCTGGAACGCAGCAAGGGCTGAATCTGACCACGGGAAGGTGGGGGGGGTGCAGCCAACAGCCGCAAAGTGCACATGTGTCGGTGAAGAGAAGGAGGAGGAGGAGGAGGAGGAGGAGGAGGAGGAGGAGGAGGAGGAGGAGGAGGAGGAAGAGGAGGGGAGGCGCAGCCAACAGCCTGGTGGGGTTACGCGAAGCGTGTAGAATTTCCAGCTTCCCCTGTGAAGAACAGGGGACTCCACCATTTATGCACAAACCATGGAGGAGATGGAAAATACGGCGAAGGAGGGAAGCAAGATGGAATGAGAAAGCGAGGGACGAGGATGACCACTAAATGCTTGAACATTTCTGCTGCTATGCATTTTTTGTTTGGTCCTCGACTCAGGTCGCCATCCCCCCCCCAGACGTCTGGCGGCTCGACCTCTTCCTCGAGACCGTGGGACTCCTGACGCTCGACCCTCTCCACGGGGCGGGTATTCGATTTTTCGAGGGTCCGTGGGAAAAATGCCGTGTATACAAAATCAGTCTTCGGGGAGTTGGATGTCTGGGTCCAGGGCGTCAAAATCGACCCCTATACCTCTCCTGGGGTGTGTCCTGGCGAGAATTTCGAGGCGGATCCAGCCGCGGAGACGAGGAGCCCTCTGGAAGCTCCCCAAGGGCTCGAAACGTCAAAAAACTTCGATCCTCTCATTTCGACCGCCGGCATGACGTTCAGGAATCTCGGCCCCCCGTTGTGTTTTGTTCGCAACACGGATCCCTGGAGGTCAGGACCCATGCCCCATCGCGTCGTGGAAAAACAACATGTCCTGGTGGATTCTTTGAGTTGATTTCGGCCTGTGGAAGCCGTTTCCCAGCCCCAAGACCAGCAAAAACTACTCAGGATGAAAAGCTGGGCACGGGGAAGGGCTCGAGACCCCAGGGGCCCAAGTCATGAACAAGTTGTGGCGACGGAGGAGCTGCTCGAGGTCATAAAGTCCAGAATCGATTCGACAAGGACCGTTTCCCCTGCGGAACGCCTCGCCGTCGAAAAAGTCCTCGGCAGATCGGTCCGCGGGTAAGTTGTGGGCGAGACGGTCCCCAACGAAATGGTTCGCTGGCGAAGCGGTGCGTGCGAGACGGTCCGCGGGCGAGCCGGGTTGGTGCCGATCAGGAGGCCTCGTGCGACGTCCTGGCTTGACGCCTTTTGGTCTGTTCTCCCCTTGTTCTTGCCCATTCCTCCAGTCGAGGATCGAGAACCAAAATGTCTGAGCGTTTTCGGCCCTTTCTGAACCTCTGAGGGTCCTCGTCGCCATGGTTGGATTCCCCTCAGAATGCTTGCCAAAACGCGCCCATGGACAGGTCCGGGTGTCGACTTTGAGGCCGAAAAATCATAACCTCGGGCCACCTGGCAAAAATCGAACCATAGCTACTCCCCTTGATCCCACTGCGCTCTCTCGGTGGCTCTCCTGATCTTAGTGCTACTCGGCAGCCTCGACTGGCTTGGGACATCGCGCTGGGCGTGCAAACAAATTTGCTCGAAAAACCTGCGGTCCTGACAACCACGGTGTTGTGTCCGTTCGGAAGGGGACTCCGACCGCTAAACAGCCAGCAACAAAACAGTGCTGCGTACACCGAGCCGCATTCGCGAGGGGCGCGCAACGTCCAAACTTCCCATAGCACGTTTGAAGCACCAGATGGCCTGCCTGGCTTTCTGGATGCAGCTTGATTGGGAACGGCCCAACCCAGAACGCTGAAAACTGATAAGCGAATCCCCTCATCGTTTAGGGCTTTCTGGCCACTATCAGCTCAACAACCTCTCATTGCCAGAACTCCAGCATCATCATGCCCACACGTTTTCATGCGAACTCTTCCATCACATGCTCTTCCTGTATACTAGACTCCCGACATCTTCAACCTTGCCACATGGCGGTCTGTTGCTCAACACTTTCTGGCATCCGTGCGGGTTGAACTCAGCACTTTCTTCACAGAGTGCACCCACAACGAGGAAAACGATTTGATCATAACAATGAAAGCTGCTCGTTCGAAGCCGCAAAGATTCTGCACTTCGCGGTCCTAGCGATCATGAACCGCATACTTATCAATCAGGTGTTTCAGCCGAAGACTGTCCAATTCCACTGATACGGCTCCGGTTGCCATGAGTGCCGCAAGGTGTATTTCTCGGACGCACTTTCGACCCTGTCTTCTGTCCGCACGCGATGAAAGCAAATGGTAGCATGAATGCGAGCGCGCCTATACCACTGCGAAGGCTCCGTCCAAGGTGCTCTGCCAGCCCAAGAGCGGCGACTGCAGTGATGCAGAGTCGCAGGGTGGCCCCTGTCCCGAACAACTACATACAAAAAACATCGATCACAGCTTGAAACCATGCCACCTCGTCGCGCAACCAAGCATCCATTCAAAGACTCAGCAACTTAACTGTGAGCGACATACACGTCTTCACCCTCAAAGCTGCCTAGATTTTGGATAGCTTTTGCCACCTTTGACAGGTAAGTAAACGTCAAGACTTCCAGTCGAAGGGCAGATGCCACGATGCATTTAACAACACCTTGAGCATGATCAAAACGATAATCGGCGCACCCTGGGAAGAGCTGGCCGAATGCAGTGTTATGTTTTTTGCACGTGAACCAATGTGGTACGCAGGAGGCCTGTGGAGCGAATTACTGGACAAGTAGTTCATGCTCTCCGTTTCTGAACTGGACTCCTCCTCCTCCTCCTCCTCCTACACCCTTTCCTCCTACTGCTCCTCCTTCTCCTCCTCCTCCTTCCCATCTTCTCCTCAACCCACAATCTCGTTCTCATCCTCATCCTGATCCAGAAGTCGGATGGAACACCGACGCATCACCAACACGGCCCAACATATCGTCCAACGTGCGCATCTGCGGACTGTGCTGGCGAAGCTTTTAACCATAGAGGAGCCAGCGTTCTACGACCGCCGCCGTTTAGGCAAGAACCCAAGATGGGTGTTGGGGGAGGAAGCTAACAGAGTGCTGGCTGCTTACTGTAAGCACGTCAGGGCGGTGGCATCTCCGCCCTTCCAGCGTGCTGTATCCCTCTTCCCTTCTCCGCCTCCCGGTGGCACAGAGGTACAATGGGAAGCGCCTGGCGGCGAGGCCGAAGCCAGCTGCATGCAGCAGATGTTGTACCCCCTCCTTTACTTCCCCCCCCCTCCCCCGTCCATCTCCCCCTGTCACTCCCGTCCTTCCCTTGGGGCCCCTGGAAGCCACGCGACGGGAGGCAAGCGGCGGGCAGCCAAGCGAGACATGATTGTGTTCATCCTCAGCCACTTGTGCGGGCAGGGGAAATAATGAGCAGGAGGAGGGGGTACAAGCTGAGTGCGCTCGCGCCATATCTAACACCCTACCTCTCCCACTCAATCGTTCCAATTGTGCTGAATCTGTTTCTATCCGCCGACAGGAGTGCCCTGGAGGACCGTGGTCCAGAAAGTGGCCCCATCGTCTGATGCGCAATCAGAAACGGTGCTGTGTACATTGGAGGAGGAGGAGGAGGAGGAGAAGGAAGCGGTGGAAGCGGAGGAGGAGGAGGAGGAGGAGGAGGAGGAGGAGGAGGAGGAGGAGGAGGAGGGAGAGGAGGGGGAGGAGGTGGGGGAGGACGAGGAATTTAAACCAGCGTGTCTTCTGTGGTGTTGGGTGCTCGTTTTGAATGAGCAGCGTCGCGCCTACCCTCCTCTTCCTCCTCCTCCTCCCTTCCTCCTACTCCTTCTCCTCCTCCTTTTCCTCCTCCTTCTCCTCCTTCTCCTCCTTCTCCCTTACTCCTCCTCCTCCTCCTCCTCCTCTGCCCCTCCACGCCCCTCGCACGTTTCGTGCCCCCAGAGAGGGCTGCACCGAAGGCCCCAATTGGCAAGTTCCCTTGGCGTCGCCCCGCTTCTTTCGGCACGCAGAACCATTGGGCGGGTGCCAAAATCGGCTCGGCGCGTCGCGCCGCGACGACGGGTGCGGCGCTCGACTCGGGCGCACGCAACTGTGGCTGCGCTGCCCGTCGCCGATCGCCCGATGCGAAGAGCTCGGGCGCCAGTCTGCGCTGCCCGTCGCCGAGCGCCCGATGCGAACATGTGCCATCGCTCTGGCTGCCATTCGCCGTGCATTGTTTGGTGTCGAGCGTGCTTTTCCTCTCAAGATGATTCAAGATGCTCCGAGACGGTCCAGATTTTCTGGCGCTGGCCTCGCCGCAAAACATTGCTCACGCCTGAGCGATGCCGAGAACACCCCAGGCCGAAAGGCCCCAAGGGATCGGTGAGCGTGCAGAAGTCGCGCCGCAGCTGTCTTCGCCGATGACGGGGCACCGAGGCGGCGGAGCGCGCGCGGCGCCCCTCCCAACCCAATCGGCGCGCGCGACCCCTCGCGCGCGCCCGCCCGTGCAGGCAGGACGGCCTGCGGGGCGCCTCGCGCCCCCATCTTGGGCGAGCGCCGCCGCGCCGCTGCGCAGCGCGTGTGCGCCCTCCAACTTTCGCCGCCCTTCGCCCAGGCGTTGGGGCTGGGGAGATGTTGCCCGCCCCGCGTTTGCGTGCCCACGAACCAATGCTTCAAGCTGTTCGCCCACCACCACTCACGCGTCTCGTGGCCTCAGAAAGGGATCCACCGGGTGCCCCAGCGTGCATGTTCGCATGGCGTCGCTTCATCTCTGCACACCCTCGCACGTGTCGTGCCCCAGAAGAAGCCACACCCAAGGCACCAATGGGCATGTTCGCCTGGTGTCGCCCCGCCCATTTCAGCACACCCATCAAAGGTTTCGTGGCCCAATACGGAGTTCCATCGTATGCCCCAGCGGGCATGCTCGCATGGGGGCCGCTCATGTCGGCACACCCCTCACACGCGTCGTGGCCCCGTGCGGAGCTCCACCTACGGCTCCAATGAGAGGGTCCGCATGTCGGCGCCGCTCATGTTGGCGCACCCCTCACGAGGATCGTGGTCCCATAAGGAACTTCACCTATGGCTCCAATGAGCGGGTCCGCATGGCGCGCCGCTCACGTCGGCGCACCCCTCACGAGGATCGTGATTTCATAGGGTACCCCAACCAACGCCCACATGGGCATGTTCGCATAGCGTCGTCTGGTCCATTTCGGCACACCCTTACGTATTTCGTGGCCCCTTAGGCCGCCCCACAGAAAGCCTGAACGGGCATGTTCGCAAGGCATCGCCCCGCCCATTCCAATACGCCCCTCGCACGTTTCGTGGCAAGGTCTCAACGGTCGCCAACGGATGCCCCGGCACCGCGCCCATTTCGACCCCCTCACACAATTAGCCGTCCCGCAGGAAGCTCCACCGAAAGTCTCAATGAACGTCGACGTATGGTGGCAACGCGCCCATGTCGACACATCCCTCACACGCTTCGTGGCCCCAGAAGGAGCGTCACCAAAGGTGTCAGTGGCAAGGTCCGCGTGCCAGCGCCGTCCATTTTAGTGCACCCCTCACCAGGATCGTGGACCCATGTGAAGCTCCACCTGCGGTCTTAGTAACAAAGACAGGATTTCGGTGCTGCTCACATTGGCGCACCCCTCACGAGGACCGTGGCCTCATAGGATAGGGAGCTCCACCTGCGGCCCCAGTGGGAGGGTCCACATGGCGGCGCCGCTCATTTCAGTGCACTCCTCACGAGGATCGAGGCCTCATAGGCTAGGGACCTCCACCTGCGGCCCCAGTGGGAAGGTCCACATGGCGGCGCCGCTCGTTTCGGCGCACTCCTCACGAAGATCGTTGCCTCATAGGATGGGGAGGTCCACCTGCGGCCCCAGTGGGAGGGTCCACATGGCGGCGCTGTTCGTTTCAGCGCACCTCCTACGAAGATCGTGGCCCCAGATGGAGCTCCACCTGCGGTCCCAGTGGCAGGGTCCGCATGGCGGCGCCATCAAGTTCGGCGCACCCCTTACACATTTCGGGACTCCATACGGAGCTCCACCTGCGGCCCCAATGAGAGGGTCGGCATGGCGGTACCGCTCGTGTTGGCGCACCCCTCACGAGGATCGTGGTCCCATAGGGAGCTCCACCGACGGTCCCAGTGGGAGAGTCCGTATGGCGCCGCCGCCGCCTATTTCGGCACACCTCTCACGAGGATCGCGCCCCATAGGAAGTTCCACCTGCGGCCTCTCAGTGGGACACTTTGCATGCGTACTTCCACCCCCTCACACGAGCCCCACCTGCGGCTCCAGTGGGAAGACTTACACGCGCTCCCCCGCGCATTTTGGCGTACCCCTTGCATGTTTCGTGCCCCATCAGGGAGCATCACATACGGATTTCGGCACATCCTGGACATCCATAGCACAGATCCTGCACAGAGAGGTTCAATATGCTAAGTGTTGGACCCCTCGGCAGGCTAATTTGAGGGCCCCCCTGTCACAAACGAGAAGAGCCACACGCGAACACTTGAGAAGCAGAAACCCCGAACACTCATAAGCACAACGCACTCTTGACTCCGTGTGCACACCGGGACGAAAGTCAAGACTGAAATCGTGTACCTTCACTTCGCCTCCTCTTGCTCCACGTTTCCTTGTCGTCGCTGCTGCTCCTCTTCTCCTACTTCTTGCCACGCGTGATTCGTCACCTGCGTCCATCTACCCGCTGCTACTCAACAACATGCCCCACCCGCCCATCAGACTGAACCAACCCGATGTGCTAAAGAAGACACGCTGGTCTCGAACCATAACGGCACATACTCAAACACTTGTGTTCTTTGGAGCGTTGCGCTGGCATCCTCAGGGGCAGCTGCGCCTGTAGCGTGTGGCAACTCAAGAACAACGGGGGCCGATCGGGAAACTGTTCGTGTGGCATGCGTCTTGGCCTCAACGTGCCGAGCCACATTCTGTTGACAAACGTACGCAACGACAGGGCGGCGGTCTATCCCTGCCAGCCATGCGCGCGGCCCGTGGGACTCGAACAAGTACACGCCAAAGCCAATCTGATCGATACGGGCGACTTGATGCCTAGCCTGGTTTCGCCCACAAGCTGTATGACCAACGCTTCACAATGCCTGTCTGATTCGAGTGGTCAGGAAGGGAGAGGGGGGGGGGCCAAGATCGCCACAAGACGGGCTAACATGCCCCAAAGAGGGCCCCAAGACGGCCCCGGAGGACCCCACGACGGCCCACGAGGCCCCTCAGATGGGCCAGGTTGGCCCAAAGAGGGCCCCAAGAGAGGCCCAAACGGGGAACACGAACTTACATCTCGAGATCTTCGCCTCAATATTACCCCAAGAAACCCTAGAGACGAGGATACCCCCCAGAAGCCTCGACGAGGCCAGAACAAAAACAGCAAGAGGTATCCAATATCCATCCGCAACCCCGGCACGGTGGCGGGATGTGCCAAATGCCATTATATTTGTGAATCCGCCAGCCCCCTTGTGGGGCCATCAGGCT